GCGCCTGTCCCGACACGTGGGGCTGGATGTCGTGTCCCGGGAGCCGCCCCGGTGTCCCGGGAGCCGCCCCGTCCCAGCCCTCAGGAGATGAAGTGTGTCTGAGGCGTGATCTGCTCCAGCCTGTGGTCGGCGGGGTTCGCGGAGGCCTCGTAGTTGCAGATGGTGACCTCGTGGCGATGAGCCTGGGTGGAGATGGGGGCTGTTACGTCCAGGGGGAGCGGGATTCCAACCCGCCCTCGGGCCCCCCGCACCGCTCGCGGCTCTGTCCCACCACCAGAATTTGACTTAATCAATGATTTCGAGCCCTTCGCACCCCCCTGGCTCGGGCTCGTCCCTCTCTGCCCTCACTCACTTCTGTCCACTCCCCCTTCAGGCCGATGTAAAAGATCTTCGTTGTCTCCGCCCCGAAGTTCTTTGGGAAGTGCATGGAGAGGTGGTAAACGTTGGAGAAACGGGCAATTCTGGAAGGAAACACACCCTGAGGCCGGAGCTGCCACTCCAGCACAGCCCCACAGCCCCACTCCAGCTCCCCCTGATCCCACTCGGACTTGGGATCAAACATCTGAGGTGCAGGAGGAGCTGCTCCCTCACACCCGTGGGTCAGCAACGAGCTGTCACAGAGCCCAGGGACAGGGGACAGGACACCAGGGTGATTCTGCACCCTCAGTGATGCCTTCAAATCTATATTATATGAATTTTAGTACAGCTTTAGCCTGCTAGTACCTCTGTACAAAATTCTTAAAAATACCTCTTAAATATTCCTTGTTAAGAATTTAAGGTAAAATATAGATTTTAAGGCATCACAAGAAGCCCTGGGGCACTGGAACTGCCACCCCCAGGCTCCAGGGAGGAGGTTTCAGGCCAGAGCTCCAACCTGGCAAGGGCAGGACAGAGCTGGGGAGGCGAATTCTGCCCTGGGCTGACACTGCCCTAAATTTGGCAGCACGTGGGCAGGCTGGACTGAGCTCCTGTGGCAGGGAGGAGCAGCCCCCAAACCCCCAGGGTGTCTCTCTCACTTGGTGGGATACTCCAGCTCGCCCAGGGGGTCCCGGTTCAGGCTGAAGGTCTGCTCTGCTTCCCTGGCTGTGTCATCAAAGGACATGTGAGGAATGTTCCTGAACCTGGGGAGACAGGAAGGAAACCCAGGGAGTTGTTAACAGCAGGGCAAGATAATTGTTTTCCTCCCCATCCATTAGCACTGCCCACATTCTTCTCGAGGAGAAGCTGAATTGACTTTGTCTTCTCATGTCCCCACAAAGAAAACAACAAAAGGCTGAAGAAATAACATGGAAAAGCATGGGACAAAGCTGGGGAGATGCAGATCTCTCTTGGGTACATGAGGGAGTCCAGATATTGGAGGAAAACAAGGGAAGCTGGGTGCCACATAGCAGGTAATTCCAGCTAAAATTCAGCACCAGCACTTGGGCTGTGCATCTCCTTTGTCCCTCAGAGCACAACAACAGGACCAGGTGCAAGGTGAGCCCAGCAGGGCTTCACATCCTCTCTGTGGGACACACAGGACAATGTTGGCTTGTTAAGGTGTGTTTTTCCCCTCAGAAGCAGGAACTGCAGAGCACTCAACACTCTTGTTAAAATAAGAAAGAAGGAGTGTAAAGAAGGATCTGTCTCCCTTCAGGAGCTTGAAGAGGCCACGTGGCTCAGCACAGCAGGAGCCTTACAAACCTCACCTGACTGCAGGATACTGTCACTTCTCTTCACACTCCCTGCTTCCCACTGCTCAGAGCTCCCCTCTGGACCCTCTGTCCCACCCCACTGAGCCCATGGCAGGTTGGTTCCTCACAGTGCACAGCCAGTGTCTGAACCAAATATTCTAACTCAAACCAGCCCCTCATTTCTCTGAAGAAAAGGCAGCACCCATCCCACACAAGCTGCAGTTTATTTTCCCTCTTGGGTCCTTGGGATGACCAGGCAGCACAGCACCAGAGCACAGCCCTCAGTGGTGCCTGGGCACAGCGTGAGGGTGCTCAGCTCAGCTCAGCTCAGCTCAGCTCCAGAAAGGTGAAAAGCTGGTTTTACTCACAGCCTCATCTCTGCCGGGTGCGTCCCATCGTCCTCGCCCATCACAAGGACTCCTTTTAACTTCACGCTGCCTGTGAACCTGCCCAGACACACAGAGCGCCGTCTGCACCTCCAGTCTCTCCAAAATCAGCCCCTGTTGGAGGGGCACACGCTGTGCCTCGTCCCCAGGGGAGGAACAAGGGCTGGCAGAACTTACGGGATGTTAAACAGCAGCTCCTCGTCGTCATCGCTTTCCACGAACTGGGAAGAGAAGGAAGAGCAGGTCAGGACTGGGGCTGGTGGGGGGAGCAGGGGGACAGGCAGGGGGGTCACCCCAGAGGGGCTCAGGGGCACAGCAGACCCTGCAGCACCTCCCTCACAGAGTCACAGAGTATTTGGGGTTGGATGGGACCTCTGGAGATCACCCAGTCCAACCCCCCTGCCCAGGCAGGGTCACCTGGAG